TCAATAATAGTCATGACAAATGAACAAAACCTGTGACTAAAAGTAGTTTATGGTCATGGTTTAATATATTAAGTGTCACTAAAAGTCCACAAAAGTCATGAAAAATGAAAAAACATGTCACTGATACTACTTTATGGTCATGTTTTAAGATATTACGTGTCACTAAAAGTCAGCAATAGTCATGAAAACGAAACAACTTGTGAGAGAAAGTAGCTTACGGTGACGGTTATGAAAAAATGATTGAAAAATTACAAAAATTGGTACCCTATGGTGATATTTTTTACCTTTAGTAACGGGTTTTATGGGTTATAGTCACCATAACTTACATTTAATGATGCGAACTTTCGTTACACAATGGATGAAAAAAAACTCATCATAAAATGTCTATAGTGACAGGTTTTTTGCTTGTCCAAAGACCAGTTTTGAGATCGCACATAGTAAAGACTAGTGCTACGAGCCACTTATCCAACAATTAGAGGTATATCCTCAATCTATATCCCAAAACTCTCAAGTTGACCTAAAGTCAAACCTGGTCAAAATGTCAACAATTAATGGTCAAAGTCAACAGCAAAAAGTCAACTTTGCTAGCCACCACGTCGTAGCCAAGCATCTGCTACGACATGACAACCTCAGGACAAAACATTCGCGAAAATCCCATATGCCACGACGTAGTGAGCATATCTCCACGGCATGGGAACTGTTCTTGGACAACTTAATGGATTAATCCTTTAATCCATTAACTCTGAAACTCATCTCTTCCAAAAAGCTTTCATACACTTAATGAGTCATAAAATTCATTTCTTTATAGGCATACATGTCCAACGCATGTCTTAAACTCTAATATGGTCAAAAAATGGTGCAAATGAGGACAAAACCACATGCATGACATCAAAACTCTATTAAACTTCATACATTAAACATATAACCACAAAGAGATCTCAAGGATCCATAAAGTTTCCAACTTTATGGAATCCAACCACTCAAACTAACTCAAACATGAAGAACAATGGATAAAAGCCTAGATCTAGAAACATACCACATAAAGATTGGAACTTGAAAACTCGCAATGGTCCAAAATATTTGCTAGAATCTAGAGGAGGAGCTTGCTTGCTGGATTTATGCTTAATGGACACCTTCTTCTCCTTCAAGACACCAAAAATCACCACAAAAGCTTCAAGAACACAACAATGGGGGCTATGATTGCTTTAAGTCGAAAGGGAGGTGATAGAGGTTCAGGGTGTGCAAACCCTAGCCATCACATCCCTTAAATAGGGCTTAAAGCCCGGAAAATAGTGTTTTGCATAACGGCAGCCGTCACGTCGTGGCCAACACTTTGCTACATTGTGGCACCTTTAATGAAGGCACGATTCCATCTGGTGCCGCCACGTCGTGGCACCATCACCCCCACGTCGTGGCCACTAAAAATCTCATATTTTAAATTCTTGAAGGCCAAAATTATAAAAGCAATTATACCTAAAACTTGGTGTTATATTCATGTAATTGATTTTATATATTGACATGCTAGTTTCTTGCTAGCTTGGTTTCTAATATAATTTCTACTGTTCAAATTTTTTTAACCATATATGTGTCTTTTATGTACATATAATGCATTAGTGCTTAAAGAAGAAAATTACTCATTTAACAAGAAATTGATATTAACCCGTTTCATTAAGTTTGAATTACCATTCTTGTAGTGCATAATTTTCAACCAAATTTGTCGGTTTTTCGTTTCAAACTTCGATTAGAGGATGTCAAGCTATTTGACAATATAAGTAGTTGCAATTAGCCTATAATTGGTTGTAATTGTTTTGTCTAATATGTGCTAATCATAAAGTTAATTATATTGGCTAACACGACTAGGGACGAAATTTTAAGGAAGGCCAACCTCCCCTGCCCCTAGGACTTACAATTCATAACTCATATCAAAAAAATGAATTTTCCGAAAGAAATTATTAGAGGACGGCCACGACGCTACTTCAAGAAGAGACAACTTTGTGACGAAAATACAATTTTTGTAAAACTTTTAATTTGAAAGTAAACCCACAATGATAACAATTCAAATCTTTAAATCAAAACCTAACTCTACATATGGAAAAAAATATTACACTCTTCTTATCCAATAAAAACAAATAGTTCCTAGCCATTTTAGAATCTATTAAGCAACTATCAAAAGTTTAAAACCCACAAAATTAACAAACAAATCTCAAAAAAAAAATCATAAACCATAATGTTGGATGTTGTCTCCTTTCACCTCTTAGAGGCCACACTAGCCATCGGTTGCCTAGAAAACATCAGTCCCAATCATCTATGCTTTAGTGTTGATGGGCCAACTCTCGTCGTCTCACCGTCTAGAGCTCTCCCTGTATATATCCACGCCTCTTGATGACATTCCATCCAATACCTCTAATCCTCACAAGTTAGCATCACTCTCACTCTCTTCTCTTCCTTTCATTTTCATATCTATTTGAACTTTGATAGATTTGTACAGGCTTTGATGGAGTTTGAATTTCTTTTCCTTTGAGCTTTTGTTTGTGATTTAAACTTTTTTATGCTTAGGCCAGAAGGTATGGTGAGGAGAATAAACGTTGGATGTTGAATGGTATAGGAACCGCATCCAGGAACACCATACCATGGATGCAGTTTAGATAAGAGTTTCTATGTGCGGGATAGCCTCCTGCACTCTCTCTACTTCTCTGCTTGGCAACGATTATTTTTTCTTTTTTCTTTTTATTATTGAGTTTTAATAATATATAAAGAATTATATATATACTGAAAAGCTCTAAAATAATATATTAAATTCAATTATGGTTTTTAATCCTCCACAAAAAAGTAATATATTGGTATATAATATTTATTTTAAAAAATAAGATGAAATAAAATGTAACTATTTTTTGAGTTTTGAAGAGTGATGAGAGAGTAAAGAGAAAATGAATAACATTTAGATGATACGTAAAATATAAGGGGTGAAAAATTAGTACACCGTCCAGTTTAGAAAGTATAGAAAAACTTTTAGAAAATGTAAAAAGCTTTTAACTCTTTGTATCAGTACAATATATTTATTTTATTACTTTTCACTAGTTGTGAGACCCATGTATTACATGGGCTAATTAAAAAAAAAGTTAAATATAAATGTCAAAATATTTGAGAACTTTAAATTTATAAGAAAAAATAAAGAAAATAATGATTTATTATAATGAAAATGTTTTTTATCTTTTAAATTTAAATAAAATAAGAAGACAAAACTGCACAAATGGTCCTTGTGGTTAGCTGAAAATGACAACTTTGGTCCAAAAAAGTTTAGACTAGCATTAGAGGTCCAAACTTTTCATTTTGTTGCGAGTTTGGTCCAATTTGCTTTAAACTTTTTTATAATGACGGTTTTGCCCTTGCTTTTTGATTTTTTAGTTTTTCGATTTATTTGAATCTTTTTCTGATTAAAAGAAAAATAAAAAATACTCTCTCTCTCTCTCAAGAGTTCTTCTCTCCCCCTCTCTCTCTCTCAAGAGTTCTCGTGCTGCCGTTGTCGGAGCCATATTATGCGTTTGCCCCTGATATGAAGAAAGAAAAAAATTGGTTGGCCCCTGATATGAATTAGGCAGATTAACTCTCTATCTCGTCGACTTACACCTCCTTGCCAAAAGCTTAACACAAAATTTTCCTTAAAGATTTTAATTTGTGGTTCTGAAAATCAAACCAAATCTAGCCACAAACCATAAATACATTAACCAAATCGAATTATCCATCAGAAATACATTAAACGAACTGGTTCAACAAAGATCAGAGAGATAGACAGGAGCAAATCAACAAGATGAAAGAGGGAAGGACACAGATTCCACAACCATCACTTAATCTGAATCAATTTCTGATGTGAACCCTAAACCTAAAATCTATTTTTGCAGATGTAGGGATGCTCTTTACCAAAACGGATCTCTCCATCGTAACAATCAAGACGAATTCCACAACCTTCGCTAAATTTGGAGGGGTAGGAAACTGTAATCGTCGACCACTGCCTTCACCTCTACCGAGAAATCCAAAAATCGACATCAAGCCACATTCAGCGAATCCACACTTACCTGGGTTACTACGAGAATGCTTTGAGGATAGTTTGATTGGCGGTGAATGCTCCTCCACTACCGGAATCGCCGAAGCTTGGATCTGAAGTTGTTGATATGTCACCGGTGGTGCTCATCGATTCTCAGGAGGTTCGAGATCCAAAGAGTATGTTCACTAGTAAGAACAACGTGTCTTGGACCGTCCATCTTCCCTATTTATTGTCACCGCCATCGCTGTGTTTTCCCATACCATCTCCTCCTTCGTTCTCCAAAATCAACTCAAGATCTCGTCGATGATGAAATCAATTTTAGATATTGAACGATGGTCAAGATCATGTCGACCCAGTAAGTGAAATCACTTTGGGGTTTTCCTTCACGGTGGATGGTGAAGAGAAACGAAGATGATGGTGATTCATGATTTTTCAGATTGGGTATACCTATCTATGATGAAATCACTTTGAGGATAATTTGGACAAGTGGAAAAAAAAAAAAAACTTTATTTATTAGAGGGGATTTAAATGAATCTATTAGAATTTTGTAACCAGCATAAGACATACTATTTGTTTTTAACTTTTGATTTTGGCCTCCTCGGTTAAATACTTGTAAACAAACTAAAATGTGACATATATATAGCCACGATGGGACCAGATATATAGTACATATGTGGATAGATTGACGTGTGGTTCATGAAGGGCAAGTTGTCTCGTTTTTTGTTTGATTCCTAGAAGTAACCCTAAAACACATATATCTTAAGTTGTTTGGAGTGACGGGTCGGGTTAAGATCCATTCGGGTGCCATACGCCATATGCCAAATTTCCATGCACTCCTTCCTAACAATGAACAAACACGCGCGATCTGTTCTCTTTCATTCTTGATTTCTACTTTGAAAACGAATTCGTTACAAGAAAAGAACACGACAACGCAGTAAAAAAAAAGGAGAAAAAATGATCATGCTTTTACACTCTCCAATGTCGAAAAGTTATCGATCTCTGGTGCTGCTGATCCTCTAAACAGCAAAATAGAAAGACTCCCAATAGAAAAATGAATGAAAGAACCATAACAATGAGTCACAAACGACCCAAAATCAGTCCCTACGATACACTGCCAACCACCTCCATACATCGCATCAAATTCCTGCATTAAACATTCAAGTACCATTCGATCAAGATTCCATGATCGATTTTCAACACCCTTTAAAACAACTAAACTGATCCGGCCCTTACCTGTTTAATCACTCGGGCTATATCAGTGGCTTCGGTTACATCAAAGAAGTCGAGTGCTTTAGCTGCGAGTTGAAGTGCATCTTCTTGCATGGTTTGAAGCATATCAGTCTCCCCGATCACAGCTTTTCCTTCTAACATGGTTGCAGGTTTTTAAAATCTGAAATAAGGGATGATGATCGAAATATATTGCAAAAGTGGTGGAAGATGATGAAGGATAATGAAGAATATATAGTCACGTTTGTGTATAAATGGATGTCGAGTTTATGTGGCTAAGGCGGTTGCGACCTGTTGAGAAGAAAATTTGGGTTGGATAAAGCTTTGCCACTACTAAATGGAGTGGCACAAAACACGTACAGCAAGTGAAAGACAATATATGTGCTGGACCAATGACTGGGTCAAGACTCAAGAGGCTACTAGATGCATAATTTGTTGTTACGTACGTAGGAATGCGTTTGATGCTTAATTAATGTAAATGAGGGAAAAAAATCACCTCCAAAAAAGTGGGATACAAACTATCTATCGTCTGACCATTAATCTTTAAATATTATTAAAAGATAACTTAAATATATCAACGAAGCAGACTCTTGTATTTCAATCATATGCTTTCCATTTTTAGGTCAAATTGCTGTAATTATCTTTCACAAATAATATTCAAACACTGTTTATTTTGACAATAATTACTCGACTCCGTAACCTCTCCATACTTTCTAAAATAGCCTTCACAATTCGAACACAATTACATTTAATTATGGAATCATTAAATTTAGTAATTATGATATCAATTGAAGCAAATCATTCTATTTATTTACGAGATATCAGATTCTCAATAAATCTAACCAAAAACATTAATCGTCGCCCCATCTTTCTCCTATATTTTCTTCTCTTAAACCCTAATTCCCCAATCCTCTCTGTCCTCATGTCAATGGTTGTGCTTCAATTGTTGCTTTGTGTGTTCAAAGTAGAACGTAGCACCACAAGGTGGTTCCTTTTTGCTCATGTATTCTTAGAATTTGCGTCTCACCTCTTCCTTGCATCTCCAATTATCACACTACTGTTTTAGCTTCACACAAATCTTTACAAACTGAAGCAGACAACTCCTTCAAGACATATTCTGACAAGTTACTCCCCGACCCCCTCTTTCGTACATCCATATTTTATCAACTACGTATGTACCAGCAACACCACCGAGGCTCCTGTTTCTGTTAATACCACTTCTATACAAACACTATTTTTGGATTTATGTTGTCAATTGTTGTTTGGTTTTTCTTATTTTTTTTTCATTTTGCTTTCTCCAATTGAACGAATGATGAGGGCACTCGAAAAGTACTTTGTTGATGTTGAGTTTCAGGTAATCAACTTATGTGTTTCATTTGTCTTCCATTTGTCAGATGTTTTTGTTAATTGAGTTACTTTGATTTTGCTTTCTAACGGATGATGTGGAAGAACTTTGTTGATGTTGACTTTCAGGTAATCAACTTATGTCTTTGATTTCTCTTCCATTTGTCATATGTTTTATCAATTAACTTTGGTATGAATCATATAATTATTGCCAAAATAGTTTACAATCCATCATAATTTCCATCCTCTTAAGTTGTAGTTTTAACATATTTTTGTCTTGGATTCTACGATTTTACTTAACTCTCTTTGACAAATGACTCATTAGCCAAAAGAGACAATCAAAATCTCGTGGTACATTTTTTCTAACTTTACTCAACTAATTTCTTATTTTAATATTATTATATTGCTTTAAAATATTATATTAGTTTTTGTTTTAAGGTTTACGAAAAGATGTCATAATTTTAGGAGTGTCCTCATCATCACGAGTTCATGAATCTTCTGCAAAAGGTGGTGTTGGCAATGGAAACAAAGATGCTACAGTTCAAGGTTTTCACTATTCATCTACCAGCTCTTACAATAAAACATCTATCTACCTCTTTGATTTCAGTTGTGGAAGCCAAAGTTTGAATGTAATTTCTAAACCTTAGCTTAAATCTTTTGAATAAAGATTGTTAGATGGTTTCTTGAATTGGTGATTAAAACTTTAATACTCATGAGATCTTATTGGTAATAAGAGACTAGAAGCATAAAAGAACAAAACCAAATTTGGTTATTTAGTTTAGAAATCTCACATTGAAGTTGTAAAATTGGTCAGATTGCGATAAGAAATTGGAAATGCCATTATAAGACGAAGGATGAATTATGTTAACTTTGTAACACCATGTTTATTAAATAAATAAATAGACAAATTAATAAATGAAAAGTAGCCCTAAAATCAATAATAAATTAGCAAAGTGTTGGTTTCGAGGAGTTAACTGTCATAATTTTAATAGTTTGGGGTTAAGATGTAAATTCCGGATTAATTTGTAAAGAATTTTGAGGGTTGAGGGATGTTTAGTAAATTATGGGTTTAAATTGAAAAAGATCTTGAAGAGAGGGACTCGAAATCGCATTTACCCCCAGATCACAAACCGGATTCTATAAAAACCGGTTCTTAAACCGTCGAAAAATCTGGTAAAAACTAAAAAAATCCGATCAAACCAATTTCAAATCGGATTCGGATTCTTGACCAGATTCGGATCGGATTTTGACCGGATTCGGATCGGATTGTTGACCGGATCGGATTTGACCGGATCGGATTGTTGACCGAATCGGATCGGATCCTGGGTTTGTGCATCTCTATAAGTGGTTGGTCATTGAATGTTCAAGAGAATTGTAATTTCGTATGGGTTGTGTTCGGTTAGAGTTCAGTGGTGCTGCGAGATTGGAAGTGGGAACAAGGATTCGTCAGCCGGGGTGAAGATTAAGGCCTCCGGTTGTCATCAATGGATTACTAGAAAGCAAGAAGGATTGGGAATCCTACGATTCTCACGTACCGTGAAGACTTAGTTGAATCTAAGTGGGGGAAATCGATCAAGTATTCAGGAGCAAAATTTGGTGTGAAACTAGGATGAGTTTCGCATCCCCGTCAGGGGAAAGGCGGTCGAGTGGACGTCAAGGTTGAGGGTGGGGTAAGTTGGGAGTTTGGAGAACATTCCAACATTTGGTTCACGCTTTCCTTGGCATCAGACAACAGGTTTCGGGAACCAGGTTAGAGGTCCAGTTAGGACTCAAGTTTAGATAAGTGTTCGGTCGAGTGTGTGTTCGACCCAGGATGGGTATACTTGGATTGGTGGTAAGACCAAGGTTGATAGATAGTGCTAGAGTGTTGTATGTCTACGGGTGTAGCCGTAGCATTCACGAGGTTGGCAGATAGTGCTATAATGTTGTAAGTCTGCAGGTATAGCCATAGCATTCATGACGTTGGCAGATAGTGCTAGAGTGTTGTAAGTCTGCGGGTGTAGCCGTAGCATTCACGAGGTTGGCAGATAGTGCTAGAGTGTTGTAAGTCTGCAGGTGTCACCGTAGCATTCACGAGGTTGGCAGATAGTGCTAGAGTGTTGTAAGACTGCGGGTGTAGTCGTAGCATTCACTAGGTTGGTAGATAGCATGAGAGTGTTATTAGACCGCGAAAGGAACAGTATTACCCACCAGTTCGGGTGCAGCAGTGAGGATATGGAAATCCACGGATTGGACTACGGAATTACCCATATGAGTTAGATCTAGTTGAGCCAGCGGTACGACCGTAGGAACGCCACTACAGTTATGGGACCAGGGAAGCAATGGACCGTATAATGTTGTTTGTGATATAAGGCTACCATTGGTCAGGTAGCAATCACTTTTAGCCTTGGATTTGGTAACGTCAGATTCGACGCATGGACCCGATCGCTTGGATCAGGAGGTCGCTAGAGGCACAGTGGCATGATAACTAGTGGCAACTATTGACAGAGAAGGATTTCGTTCGGAAGTTGTGTGAGGCGACTATATGAGAGTCCTTTGGCTCCGCAACCGGGCCGGAACCCGGTATTTCAGATGACTGACGAATGAATTGAGACAAGGAAGGTCTCGGTAGATTTTGGAAAGCAGCCATCTCATAGCATGCTATTTCGGGCAGTTTCAGTGTTTGGGCAGTATTAGTATTTGTGTTTTAGGTTGCAAGTACGGACGGAATAACTGATTGATGGGGAAGTGACAAGTCACTCACAGTGTGATTAAATAATCTCAGAGTAGTCGATTTGAACCTGTTGCGCAGCTCTCGTTTGAGTGTAACCGTTGCAGGGATGGATCTTCTACTCGAAGGATTATTTGAGCCTTCTGTCAAGAATAAGTGCTTTATTGTTGACTATGGTCAGTGATTTTGTTTCTAATGGTAGCATCGAGATAATCAGGGCAGAAAGTATACATTTGGTTGGTCAGTCGAGGAACTCAGCATGGGTGGTTTGGTAGGGAGTCGGACCATCTCGAGACTGCAGATTTCATGTTAAGTAAATGTGATAGTTGCAAGGAATCCGTTCATTTCGAATTTTAGGGCCTTGCGAAGGTTGGTCACGGTTACCCTGGGAAGGCTAGGGTGTGCCCGGGATTGTGGCCATGTCACTTGAGTGGTTTGGCATGACAGGAATGGTAAAGAATGATTTCGAGGACGAAATCTAATTTAAGTGAGGGAGAGTTGTAACACCCTGTTTATTAAATAAATAAATAGACAAATTAATAAATGAAAAGTAGCCCTAAAATCAATAATAAATTAGCAAGTTGTTGGTTTTGGGGAGTTAACTATCATAATTTTAGAAGTTCAGGTTAAAATGTAAATTCCAGATTAATTTGAAAAGAATTTTGAGGGTTGAGGGTTGTTTAGTAAATTATGGGTTTAAATTGAAAAAGATCTTGAAGACAGGGGCTGAATGGTAAATATTGGATTAAAGTTGAAAAGATTTTATAGAGGCAGGGGCTAAAAGGGTAAGTTTTGGGTTTAAATTGGAAAAGATCTGGTGGGGAGGGCTGATATTGGTAAAATGGATAGAAGTTTGAAGGAGTATTGGTGAACCCGTCACCCTCATGTGCAGCCTCCATATTTAAAGATTGCAAACCCTAACCCTAGCCGCAACACACCAGCCGCCACCTTTATCCCTCCACTCCTCCAGCCGTCGTATTGCCACCGTGATCCCCGGATACCGCTGCTGCACCGCCGACGTCGAAGTTGAGAACCACCGCTGCGTTCATTCCATTGAAGACGAAGGCTGCCCTTGGACGTCGGGGCAGTGGGCGATTTGAAGAACTCGATTTGCCGCTGCCGCCGTTCGCCAGTCGGGGTCGCGACCTCCCTTCCTTCCCCGTTCTTCTGTTGTT